TTATAGATGAATTGCGGATCACATTTGTCGATCTTGCTTCTCTTGGCTAGATTTTCTTCTAAAAATCTATATTGAATCATCATGCACGCCTATAGATACACTGTACATTTAAACATATAATATTTAATTTACTGACATGCATTTTGTAACGATAGCATAATTCTGCATACAACTGATGTAACTCGGTGTTTCGAATAATAACTAATTATAGAATACGTCTATGCATATAATAAGGTGTTTGAGCTTAATTGAATTAATTGTATTTACATAGTTTTTAATTATTTGAATTAATTTTTTAGCTTGTTTTTGGTTTAGTGACATTTGGTTATTAATGTTAGTTCAGAGCGGAAGTAATTTCATTTCAATTAAAATAACTCGATCGGGCTAAGACCTATGTTTATCAAACATAAAGGACAATAGTAATTGAGTTGAACATTTACAATTAGCTCATACGTTGATTGTGTTGTTTAATATTCAAATTATTCTAGAAAGAAAATTTAACGTTAATAACTACTTTAATTGTTCAAGAGATAATTCTAAGATAAATATTCAGGCCGGATAAGTAAAAATGAAGAAGTAGCGGAATTTAAAGGAATGAATAGGGCATGAAGTTCTTGGATTTTTGAGGTTTGGAAATGACACGATTTCAGTGCTATATACCGTATGTTTTTGTATTTCTGGACGATCAATATTGGCATTTACATCTTCATAAACATTGGATTCACTAAAAAATGGACGGTAATAACAAGATTGTGACCTCTCATCTCAAACATCGGTTGTTGATCAAAGAAATGTTCATTGGCTTTTTCAAAAATTTTTTTCCCAAAGTAACACTTTCTTTTGGTGATTTACCATCCGCCGATGTAGTACTGCTTGAATCGCAAGCAAATGGGAATTATCAAATGGTCGGTAGTTTACAATGGAACGCACAGAAAGTCGAATAATGAGGATTAAGTTCAGAACCAGTGGAATTTGACATACTGTATGTCCAATTGTAATTGAAATATATCTAAAATGGTTCAATGGTCAGGTTCAAACAATATTTCTATGCTATATAGGAAGATACATAACCGATTCCTTCTCGAGGATCAGTAGACCTTTACAAGTCATCCCCTCATTAGGATGCACCCAATAAAGAGCAGAAGAGTTTGGTCACTCGGGTAACCAAATCGGCCTACATTAAATCATTATATAGGTAGTGGCTATCCTTATAATTTTTTATTTGGATTTAGAAATCTTTCTTGATTATATTTATTAAAGATTAATTTTATTAATTTCTAATTAATTTCTTGATTGAAACTATATTACATACAAGATAATGAACAATCTTATATAATCTCTTAATGCTTCTATAAAACTACTACCTTGGACATATGATCAAATCATTTTTAATTACATTTTTAGTAACAACAGTCAGTTCATAACATACAGTATACAACATATACAATATAAGTTATAATTATATATATATTATTTTTGAGATTTTAAATAATATATAAAAATAAAAAAAATATATTTTTTTTAAATTGTTACAAATATATATATTTTTTAAAAATTTTATTAAGTTATTTTTGCTTAAACAAAAATTTTTTAAAGTTTTAAAAAAAAAAGTTTGATTTTTGTATAATACAAATAAGTTTTTATAATATATATATATAATTTTTTTTTATAAATAATAATAATAATTATTATTGTTATTTTATTTCAAATTAGGTTGCATATCATTTATATTTATTAATTTTATACAGAAGACATTTATATATATGTATTAGGATATTATAATAAAGTTAAACTTATTGATACTATACAATACACCTGTTATAAGCCTAAGGTCTTTAAATATAATTATGAAAAATAAAAAAATTACCCAATTCTATT